GGCGGAAGGCAAAGGCTGGATTCTCTCTAACAAGGCCAACATGAAACTTTGGACATTCTGTACTATTTGCTACCTGCAAATTCCCATTTTAACCAAGCAAATGCAAAAGATGAACACACATTGGGCACATTTACACATGCAGGGGCTAAAAGTCCTTCTCAAACGAGTATAACAAAGCTCCTCTATCTTTAAGAAGCTACAGTAAGTAGATTGCTTTTAGCTATAATTTTATTTCTCACCCCATAGATACACGATCACGGACTTTTACTAAGGAATGTTATTGAGGCAGCACCACCTAGTGGTACCGAAACCGCAGTGCAGTATTTTCAGAGGTCTCCTTGAATAAAATTACTTCGGAAACCATAGGGGAAACTCTCAGGCTAAACTATTTTAAAAATAGTTTTAAAGTACCCATATAAAATCTGCATATTTTGGTGTGGTTTTGGTGGTTTTTTTTTAAATTTAGCATGAACATTAATAATGATATTTGCAAACTCTGGGTATACTTTTATTTACTTATTTTCTTTGAAAGGGAAAAGGATATGTGAATGTGTGAATTAATCAGAGGATGAAACATTTTTCCTTTTTTGTGCAAAGATATACATATATATTTCTAAATAATCAGGTGTTTAATTAGTTACTATTCACACCTTCCCATCTAACTTTATTATCTACAACTGCTGGTGTAAAATTTAGATTAAAACCTACATACAAATAAGAAATATTCAGCAATTTTGGACCTCTTCCCTAATAATTTCCAACACAGATTCCTGTGAGCTGTAGTTTATCTTGCTTCAGTATGTACAGTCCATGACACAGACAATCACCTTGCAAAAATCAGAAGGGTCCAATGTGTAACACCAGTTGGACTCATCTCCATAGTGGTTGTACTGGTGTATGTAGTCACATCTGTCCTAAGTAGCTGTACAGCACTGTGACTATAACTTAATCATACAAGTAAAGCAATTATCTTAGTATCTGTTTTTCGTATAAGCCTTTGATCCTCTATTGACACTTCAGGAGGTGACAAACCCTCCAATGCAACCGCCTCCATGGGCGCCCCTCAGTGCAAAATAACATGGCCTTGGAAGCCCGAGAATCTGTGATTTGTTCTGTCTCTTCAGAGTCTTTCTCTGGGCATGCACAGGGGAAGTCTGGCAATACCAAATACGTAAATCTTTAGTAATTAGGTGCCCAAACTGCTCTTGCCTCATACCATTTCTCTCATTATCCCTCAGCCTACATGCAATTCATAGCTCACCTCTCCAGTTCCTTAACTTTGATCTTACATATGCTTCCACAGATTACCTATTTGTTGTAGCCTGAAAGCCTCTGACACTCTGCATGGCCCTCCTAGTCCCCTTGCCCAGGCCTGTGCAAGGCAGCACAACTCTTCTGTTTCCAGCTCCAAACACCTCCCCAGTGCCTACTTCTCTCATGTTCCCAGCTGCCAGGCACAGTACTCTCCATCTTCACAGCCACATCAATGCTGGGGTATTTAAGGAGCTCTTAAGTTTCATTCACCACTGGGATACACCTTTGCTGGAGTTGTGACTACTTCACCATTGACCTCACAGATTCCCTCTACGCCTATGTACCTACAACAGAGTAAGAAAAAACAAAACAGACTGACTGAATACAGTGATTTGAGTTAAACAATCACTTTATAGCGTTCTTTTCACTGTGCTCCATCATTTCATGGCTGGTTGGGGATCTTTTTTTGTCTTCACCATTTCTCACAGTAAATTTATCCTACACTTTCATTCTCCTGATGGCCTCAATCTTTCTACACCTGTTTATTCATTGCTAGCTGGTGATACTGGTATTAGGCAAGCATTGCCCTTTACCTTAAGGAGCAAACACCTTAATTTGAAGGTATTTGAAAAGAAAATTTAAAAAGAACATTTAGCCCCTCTCTCAATATTCGTTTTTGTAGGCTAACTATGTGAATATTTTTCAGGATACATTCAGTCTCTTGCAGACATCCATGTTTCCACTACCCGCTATCTAATCCAGCTGGCATGAGTGTAATCAAGTCAGCATTTTGTGTCCAAAGAAGCAAATTCTCCTAAGCCCATGGTTACACAGCTTCCAGATGTGCCAGGGCTTAAACCACAGGGAGACAAAGCAAAAAGCATTGCAGTATAACCCTTTCTCCACTCACAGAAACTTCATTAACCTGATAATCTCAGTAGTTGCCTTACGCGTTCAAATAAAAATGCACCTTTCTTGACCACATAACCACACTATACATAGCACTCAAAATGCAGTCTCACCTGTTCTTCCCCAGTCTCTATCAGATGTACTTCATCTCAGACCTTCTAGGCTGTATTTTTCATTACTTCAACACTTGCAATTTCTCATCATCTGTGATTACTGAGCTCTTCTTCTACATGTTTCATTTTCAACTGGTGAGCTCCTCAAATAAATTATTTTTATTGCCTACACACATCTCTTTCACTATTAAATTCCATCACATCTCTATTACATTCTGGGTTCTAGTTGTTTGGCTTTTTTATTTATTTTATGCCTTCTTTTATGTCATTAATACTATTCTATGTATTAAGTAATTAGCATTAATCAAAACATTACATTAAGTCAGTTATACAGATATTATCTTGGGTAACTTTGCCAGTAACTTTCCTCCAGAATGACAGTACTGTTAGCGTAATACTACCTCTCCTCTGACCAGGTCATTACACACCTTAAATTACTGTATGAACCCCCAACTTTTCTAGCTGAACTAGTGATTTCCCATGTAGCAGTGAATCTTCCAGTTCTATCCAACAAGTTACAAACATTAAGATTTAAGAAAAATGGAACTATAAAGAGCAATTAAAATCAGTACCAGGACTTGTAAATTCTGTATAAATATTTTATTATGTATAAAAGACAACTTACATGGATAGATGCTCTGTTAAAACAAATCACAGGCTTTTTGTTTTCATGAAAAGTTCCAAATGCTTTAAAGAGCATTTCAGAATGCCTCTTCCCTCTGCTACAGTGATGTATTGGTTAGGGACTGGTACCAAGTAGCAAGCGGACTGCAACGTAGCAACGGCTGGTGTTTCTGATGACACTCTGACGATGCCAGAACAAGGACACCATACAGAATCCAAATTCAGATTCAAGGCTTGGACTCTTTGGCCTCCAAGTCAATAAAAACGGGCAGAGTTATGGAGTTAAACGTTCAATCCACAGCCTTTGAAACAGACCTTTGCAAACCCCCATCTCCTTTGGGGTGTCAGCTGGCTCTGGCAAATACAGGTCTCTTCATTCTATTTAAGATGGGGACAATTGGAAATAACAATGGGAAGGAAAAATAAAGAGAACGATGTGAAGCCCTGGCAAACATCAGAAGCCAAGCTCATTCAAGGGAAAAACTCTCCACAGATGACCTGTTTTTCTTACAGTACATATATATGCTCAATACAGGATTAACACTTTAAAGTCGTTGTGTAAACATTTAGCCTTCTCACAGATCAGTTCAATTTTGTTTAGTGTTGTTATATACAGGATCCATAGAAAGGAGACTTTTTCTTTTGCCAAGACCTTGAAAAGGCACTACAAAAAGTAACCAAAATACTACAAACAATGTGACTGTAGCAGTTAGCTATGTGGACTTCATGTACACCATAAAAACTACAGTGTGTGATTTGATTTCTAACCTATCTTTGACTTTTTACAGCTAGATTATCAAAGAAAAATGTTGTCATTTTTGAAACTGAGTTGCACCACTTTTTTCTAACTCTGCAGATGTCTGAAAAGTTTACGATTATCAGTAAGTAAACTACCTCACAAACAGCAGTCAGAGCCTGACATGTAAACAGTTAACTAGACACAGCTACTTTCATATTAGGATATGCAGGTTTGAGCATTGCTCAAGGCATAACATGGTCCCAAGGTATAAGGTTTCTCTCAAAAATGAGAACATAAGGTTAGTGCAGTGATACTTAAGTTATTTAAAGTATCATGCAAGAGAGACTTTTAAAAGCCCTTTCAGGTGTCCACTCTTTATATTAGACACCAGACAGTAAAAAAATCTCCAAATACTTCAGTAGTCACATTTCCATCCCACAGAAGGCTACTATGGGCTCAGCATGTTACAATGGGAAGTTTCCAGTTCCTACTGTTGAAGAACTGTAAAGATAGTTAAAAGTTGTTTTTTTAATTAAATGATAAAAATGTAGCAACTACTTCATTTTTATTATTTACATTTGGTTTTGGCATAATATTAGCTACAACAGTGAAAGTGGCTTGTGCAGTTCCACTCAACTTATGCTTTGGCGATGAGAACAATGTCTGGGTTCGTAACTCCAGAATGTGACATTTAAACTTTTAAGACTTTTTAATTATATAGAAACATTTTATGGGGATTATGTTTGGATAAATTTTTAATTGTTCTGTGTTTTGAGTCTAAACAAAGTGACAGAGTATTTTTTCTATCTTTACCTTTCACATTACTGTATTATGTTTTTAATACACGTAGAGTAAATGTTTTTACATACAAGAAAAAATACCTAATTTCAATGTTAGGTGGAAATGTTCAAAGAACACTGGAGGACAGGAAACAGGAAAATACAAATGCAGCTAATTTTCATATATTATACAGTAATGCTCTTGCTCTCAAATAGACTCGGTGAGTAGTTGATTTTTACAACAAAGCAGTGTAACAAAAACACTGAATACAGACATGGCTGAATTTAATTTTGTTTTTGGTTGGTTTTTTCAATGCATGTGCTGTTATTACTAGAAATTTTTCCAGGTAAAGAGAGATTCCCAGTGCAAGAAGGAATTCTTCCAGTATATATTTTCATATGTGTAATTATCTATTACAGGAGAGGTAATTTCTCTTATGTACTGCTAGAACTAAGGCAGAACATAATACTTGACCATTTTGCCAAGTATCTACAAACCAGAGAACAAGCATGATCAAACATCCATAAGATGCAAGTCTGTTCCTGTGAAAATCATTCAACTATTTCCAAAACATTTGAGTCTCACTTTCTGTCAGAAAATCTCACATTGATGGCACTTCCAGGAGTCAAAAGTCCATGGGTTTTGGCATGAACCGGTTCAGTTTTGGCAGAAATTTTGATCTCAAAATTCTGAAGCAACTGTGAAGATAAAAAGGACAAGTATTAGAAAAGCTACAAAATTAGGGATTAAGATTAGACTTTGGAAATGAGAATTCTGTGAAGAATATATAGGTGAAGATTACAGTTAAAAATCTTCCTCCTCTGATGGAGGGGAAACTGAGCCAGCCCCTTCTGAAGATTTTCCACTCAACTAGACTAAACAGTCTGAGCTACCAAAGAAACTACGGTCTCTTTCAAACCTTGTGAGCTTCCTCTCTGTGTGTTTTTGATTTCACTTCTTTTAATGTAAATCAATACATGCAATTATAAAACAAAGCAATAAAAGAGTCCCAATCCCATCGCACACATTTCTCTTTCTAGGCAGAAGGAAACAAAACAAACATGAGACAGCAACTGTCCAGTGCACCATCATAATTCAAATATTAGAACCTCTCCTGAACAGAGTCCAAAAAAACCCAGTCTAAACCTCTATTTCCATACACTTCATTAAAACTGAGAGAACCAGTAACAAACATATATCATAGAAATTGTGCACTAAATCAAACTTCAAGAGATTTCTCTCACCCATTTTGAAGCTGAACATAGAATACCTCAGCTCTCTGTTTTTAAACTTTCAAGAGGGAAATGCTGTAACATCCTCAACTTTTCCTAATACTAAATCTGCAACACTTTTTCTGATAAGCTAAGCAATCTCATCCTTCTCCTAGTACGCATGGTGAACAACATATTGTTTTCCTATGCATAACTACCTTTTCATAAACTACCTTCAGATGTTTGATCAAATTTTCTTCTCATTCTTCTCCTTTTCAAACCTCTCATTCTTGTTATTCTCTCTGTCTTCTGAATTTCCTCCAGTTTAACTACATAGTTCTTAAACTGAAGTGCACAGGGTTGGTTGGGTATCACTGTCTAGCTGAGGATTCACCAGCATTTGGCAAGAACTGAGCAATTTAGCTCCTCTTTCTGACATACAACATTTTATATGTTTTTAGCTTTTAATGCTGTTAATATACCCAAAAATTACACTGCCTTGTCAGAATTAGCATCATTACTGTTGACTTATTTGTTGCTATATCACTCCAGTCTGTTTCTGTGGTACCGATTATTCAACCCGTTGGTTAGCAATTTGTATTTACGCATTTGATTTCTTCTCAAAAGCAGTAACTTGCAACTGTCCTTAGTGAGCAATTCTGTGTTGATTCCGGAACATTTCTCCATTTTTTAGTAATTCTATATTCACATCTTCTGACTTTAACTTAATTCATGTCAGATTGATATCCTATGCAAACTCTGAAAGTATTCTCTAATCTATCATTTACACTGTTAATGAAAATACCAACCTAAATCAAATGCAGGACACTCTTACAGAATTTTAATTAAATGTTTTCCCAGTTCAACAGCAAATATTTGACAGCTACTGCCTCCAGCTATGTCTTTTTTCCAACCAGTTGTGCATGCATTTTATAGGTCTTCCATCTGGAATAAATTTTATTAATTTAATTGTGAGAACAATTAATGTATAGGACATGTGAAAATACTTCCTAAAGTCAGAATACATGATTTATTTTATATCCACATTAGGTAGGTGATCAAGTCAAAGAAAGAAATCAGACTGGAATAACACAATTTCTCATTCATCAGCTCCATGCTTCATTTGTTTCTATTTTAAATCACTTAAATATCATCTTGATGCTTGTAAACAGGTTGTGTACTGTTTTGTTCTAGTTTCTGCTCAGAAAACAAAAGCAGGCTCTCTATTACTTCCTGGATCCTCCTTTTCAAGAAGATGCAAGTATCTTTGTCTCATCCAGCCCCCTGAAAGCTCTCTCACGCTGAGTTCCAAAAGACATGTTAATTGTTCAGAGATTGCTCTGGGAATTTACTTATGGAAATTCTAAGGCAAATTCAATCAAGCCTTGCTTTGAATACATATAAATATTTTTATAGTTAAGTAACTATAAATAGTTTCCAAATCTTTGAGTTTTGATTGCACAATATGATCTTAGTATTTGAGTTAAAGAGTGTCTTGTAAATGACAAAAAACGCAGCAGCTGTTGGGAAAGCTTTCTTTATGATATGAAACAATGGAAAACTATATATATAGCTATGTACTACCTACTTACATAACTACAATTATATACATCTAAACCGATAATAAAGTTAGAAGAAAGAACAAGAAAGGACAGAAAACCATGGAACATAGACAAATTCTACTATTTATTGTAACACAGTGATCAGTACAAGGATATAGAAACTATTTTACATCTTCATAAGTACTGAATTCTTCATAACTAAAATACTGAAACTGAGCAGGCAGCCCTTCTAACACCCATCAAGAAAGACTTCCAATTTGCTAACAAAAACCTTCTGTGCTAGATCTGTATGTTTCCTTAACAATCTTACCTTTAGTTTTACTTCACTTGTACTATAAAGATTTTTTTCTTCTACAAGGTAGTTTAACTAGTACGTTAGATTTCGAGCATGAGTATTTTCATTTTTTTAATGCCTTTGCAGGATAAGTATGGTAGACAACACTCCAAAAGAAAGATTTTGAGCACTGTAAGATACCCAGAAATTGTATACATAGAAAAGAGTCATACCACTATATTTTTCTTCTTGTAATGCTGTCACACAGTTCTAACCTGAATCAGTGCAAGATGAATTTCCAGCTCTGCAATTCTTTTTCCTATACAACTCCGAATGCCATAACCAAAGGGGATGGAACCAAAATTGTCTACTCTGTCCAAATTATCTTTCCTCAGCCAGCGCTCAGGTCGGAACTCGTTTGCCATAGAGAAATTTTCTTCGCTGTATGAAGTAGTATAATGACAGAGTGCCAGCTGCGTCTGAGGAAATAAATGACACTGATATTTAGCTAACTCCAAAGCACGTAACAAAATAAAAAAAGAATTTGTAATTACAGCATTATGAGGTGATAAAAATTAAGTATTTTTGAGTAATTCTAGGAGAAAAAAAGGACACCTAGAAAATCAGATCCTTTTCACAACTGGTCAAATGTAATAAACTTCAAACTGTTCTAAATGTTGCTGGATGTATCAGAGAAGATGCAGTGGGGAGGGAGATGGGAACAAAAGTCACAAGTACTGGGAAGTGTCTCAAAAAGATAGGATGTGGAAAAGGGAGGAGAGAGACACAAAAAAATGGAAAAGGAAAAAAATGGAGTATGGGAAGGAAAAAAAACCCAAACTCACTCCTCAGGAAAAAAAACCAGCAATGATTGATGTGATGATGTTTATAAATAAATCCGGGCAGATGATGAGTGTAAAATGACATTTAAATAAGTACATGGAAAATTAAGAATCCTGACTGTTTTAAAGCTTTGTTTCTCTAACACAGAAGTGCCGTCATTTAAAATAGAGCCATACAGTTCTACCATGACCTCTGTGTAATCTTTGAAGTGTATAAAGGAAAGCTTCATAATTTAAAAAGGAAATATCTCTTTCTACAAAAGGAATTAACAGGCAACGAATTAGAAAACTGCAAGAATAATGAAATCCATACTTTTTACATCCAATTGTTACATTGCACAGAGATGTTATTAATAGACTGCACCCTCAAGAATATTAAGAAGTCGTCATAATGGTAAATTTGGTTAGCAGGTGAGGATCCACATCTAAAAAACCCACCAACAACATGCAATTCTAAAATCAATTTTTGCCATATAAATGGGTTTTATTGAAATAGTTTCCTCTTGATGCTCTAGCTCTGTGAAGTATTTTGAAATCAATGAAGTGTGTACGTGTTGTGACTGATCACATTTCATACACAAAAATTAAACTGTTCTCTGCAGAGGACTGCAACAGAACCTACCCCTTTAGGTATCAAGTATCCTCCAATGATCAAGTCTTTTTGGGTCACTCTTCCATTTCCTGGCAATACTGGATATAACCTAGAGACAAATATTTATGAAAAGTTCAACAGTAATATTAATACAACTTAAAAAGTTTAGATTCCAGTTTGCACTCACAAATATGCAATAAAAATGCAATGTGCATTCAGGGCAAAAAGTTTTTTCAAAAGCACAGAACACCTTGGAGATTTTCAAAGGCCTCAAATCATCTGTGAGAATATGATTAGTACCTGAAAAAGCTATTTACTAGTAACTGGAGGTTGAGCTATTTGGTCTAAATATATTTATTCGTTTTACACACACATAAACATGCAATCAATTGGTCAAGGTGGAAATGTTTTGGCATTACTGGGAGCTGAAAAAGCCTTGTTGATGCCTTCTCTAAAATCCGCTTACTCCACTTACCTCACTATGAACATTTGGTGTAAACATATAAAAAAAGTATGTCACATGCTTTCAATTTAAGTCAAGAAGCTTAAAATTATTGTAGTGGCACTGCAAGGTACCACTTTGCAGTAGTGTGTGGGGGAGGAGGTGGTTATAGTCCAACATACACACTAATACTTAAAAGGTAAAAAACAGCTTTCAATTACCTACCTTACAGACATGTCCTGCATGGGTGATACTACTTCTACCATACTTTAAAACATTAAACATTCTATAAACTATCACATTTCATTGCTTGGGCATCCCTGGATACAATACGGCTACAATAAATAAAAGCAGAAGTAGCAAATAGCATGGACTCAAAATCCATTACAACCACACAATTTAATTTTTTCATTAATGACTGCAATTGCCTGCTACTTACCTCAAGGTTTCTTTCAGCACAGCTCTAACCAAAGGCATTTTTGGGACATCATGAGCAACAGGAACTTGGTCTTTCCCCAGCTTATTGACTATTTCCTCATAAACACGTTGTTGAACCTCAGGGTGCTTTGCCAACAAGTATGTTGCCCAGGACAACGTAAAAGAAGTCTAAGAAAGAAACCACAACAGAGATCATCAAGTCCAACAAGATTAGATGAAAAATAATTTCAAGCCAAGAAAAACAATCATTTTTCAACTATGTGTTTTACATGTTTAAAGTTATAAAACAGACTGGTAGTGATTCACATCTGGACTCAATGAGATGTTGTCAGACTTTATCATCCCCTTCTTCATCTCTTTTCCATCTAAAAATCCCCTACTTATCAAAACAATCCATGCTGGTATTTTCCCAGTGAAATATTAAAAAAACAAATGCAAACAAAACTGCAAAACCAATACGGAAACATAAACAGTCTAAACAGCAATGGGTTAAGTTAACCGTTACTTTTCAATATGTTTAATCTTTCTTCCTAACAAAAACATTGCCAGGACACAAGATAAGAGAACACCACACCACATAACCAATCCCTTATAAGCATATGGTGGTCTCCTCATAGCATCCACACAACAGAATTGATATTACCACTGCTAAGGTTATACTTCATCCTTTGGTGAGGAATGCTACACAACAATTGGCACTTTCTACCTCTTGAAAATTCCCACTTGACTGAAATTCAGCATCCTATTGAAAGCTTTCATAAGAATCTCAAAGAGGACCTTATATATTTCAACTGGCCCCAAGACATTAAAATACACCCCTCCCCAATTAATGATTCTAATAATCATAAAGGTTCCAGAAAAGAGGTACTGTGTGAAAAATAGTTTTTTAAAAAATTGTCTGAAGGAAGAAACAGAACAAAAGGCAGAAGACGGTCCAACTTAGAGCACAAGATGATTTAAAGGAACCCATCATCTAAATCTCTTTCACCTCAGCTGGAAAAACTGCACTTCAGTGCATATTTGTGGCTTAAGGTCCACTCTGAGGGCATGAGCTCACTCCATCTGTACTAACATGAAACTAAGTAGAATATTTCAACACTATTTGTGATCCAATATTTACCATTCATTTAACCATGAGTCCCTGTGTTTAAGCTACCTGGATTTCGGACACTATCCCATTCAAATACCAGACAGATTTGGGACATTTTGCTTCTACAGTCAGCTGCACCCAAGACATCAGGGTTAAGGAAATGGCATTACTTGAGCCTGTTCTCCTCACAGCCATCACTGAAGACAGAAAGTTTACCATGGAAAATGTATTTTCAGTGTTCCTGAATATGGCAGAGAAAGCGACAATGAAATCGTTCTGTTCCTTACGTGTACTGTTCTTCGTATCTTACAGCGTTTAACACAGAAAAATTGTAACCTCTACCCTAATTTTCTTGGTTTTTTTAAAAGTATTTTTTCCAACTTGTATAACGAAGACAGACAACGGTTTCACCTTCTAGGCAGGGAAGCTTTATTTTCAGTCATTGGCACAACAAAGCTTAAAGCTATAAATAATGTATGGGTAAAAACCTCAGCTTCTGGAAATGTCTTATTTTGGGCTCACATTTAAGATCAATTTAGAATGCAAATTCATCACAACAGTGACCTTATATGTCTTGTCTTCAAACTTGGCTAAGATGCTAGAAATCTTATTCTCAGAACTTTTTTTTCCTCTTGTGACATTGAGTGGCTGTCCCTTGCTAGAATGCAACCCTGTCCTGTTCCTCTCAGAGGCGCTGGCAATTCTGCCAGCTGCATACAAATCTTCTCTAATATAACACTGTTTTTTCCCCAAGTTCCCAGCTCCTTCATAACCTCTTAAAAACTAGCACTGCTCCAGGGACAGCCAAAATGCTTTGTAGTCATAAACTGCCTTACAATTTTGTTGAAAGCTTTTATAATCCTCTAACCCACTTTCATTTTCTATGATAAAATAAGATCTGAAGTGACAGCAGTAGGGGGAAAAAGGTTCCCTCGATCTCTGTCTTGTACTTGGAAACGAGAAAATCAGAAGTACCATCCTCTCACAAAATGATTGTTGCCAGCTGAGAAGGTTGAGTCGAATGGAAAGAGAAACTCTTGCTGGCACGAACTTGAACATCATCCTTTTAGTTTAATGAAAACTCTCTCACGCACTAAAAATGGAAAATTAAGGGTCTGAAAGATTAGAAAATGAATGGGATGAATAACTGTTCTCTACTTAAGAACCAAGCACCAAAAAGCTCTCCAAACTCATAAGCCCTTGGGATATTTAACCGACGGAATAATCTTCAGCACATAAATAAACTTTACATATGCTCCTTATTTTGGAATTCAAAAGTATTACTGTTGGGGTTTTTTTTGTTGTTTTCTTTAGAAACATTACAAAACTTTCTTAAATTAAAAAAATCTGGATTCAATTATCCAGTGAGATTTTTTTTACTTTAAGGCTCCTTTACTTTTTTTTTTTAAACTTATTTTAATCTTTTCTACTGTAGGACTATTAAACACAAGCATAGGTGATGAACTTACGTCTCATCAACATTAGTGCTGGCCTAACACCCCACTCCTCATGGACTTCAGCACAAACCAGTATCTGATCCATAAAGTGTGTCCCAGTTGGTTGAATCAGCCATATGTAAAAGTCCTTTACCAAATTCTACATATGAGTTATCTATTTTTTCACACTAACTTTCAGCAGCCTTTTCTATTATGGTCTACCCAAAGAAGCACAAATACCAACCTGATAGTCAAACTAGGAAAACAAAAGACGAAATTCAAGCCAAAAGTCAAGACACTTGCTATTTTTTGTTTAATAAACTGTGGAACTGACTCCCAAATGATGGGTTCCTGTAAACCAGAGCTAGAACAGAACAACACTGACTTCATTCTAGTAAAGAGATTACACAGTGCTCTAAGTATTTTCTATCATTTTAAAGATGTAATGACTTAACTGCATCAGAAATGATGTCCTTATAAACAATATAGCCCTTGCTGAAGATAGCTGTGAACAGTACTGGTTTACAAAAACAACTGTGCACAAGAAAATCTTACTGTGTCCACTCCTGCCAGAAGCATTTCAGTCATGTTGGCATAGATCTCTTCCAAAGTCAGTTCCTTACTCACTAGGAGGTATGTAAGGAGCCCACCGTTCACTACTTCTCCTTGGTCCAGCTGAGACTGAATAGCCTTCAATTTGTTGTCAACGTGAATTTGACCTTTGGGATTCAAAAAAACTGGTAAGTCTCTGTTTTTACTGAATGGAACTAGCAGAAAAATAATGACATTTCCCCCTCATGCTACACTACATGGCCACAGAATGACAAAATATTTAAATACACTTTCTCAGGAAAAAGATAATAGGCTGGTGGTGGAGGTCCTTGAGCACTCACGGTAGGGAACGGCAGAGCTGACAGGAACCTTGGTAGCTCACAGCATGAGAATGCTAAGCACAAGGAAAGGATGCAGGAGACTATGGTTTGTGACTGGGAGTGAAGGACACTCAAGGTCAAGTTTTTACCCCCACCTGGCTTGGTTTCTGGTGACTCTGCAAGAAGTGGTGGAAGTCAGCACACAGCGGCTGCTACAAGGTGTAAGGAGCAACCAGGTCAAAGCCACCGAACTGAACCACACCGAAGAAGAAGATGAGGAGCATCAAGTAATAACAAAAATTGAAAAACTTCGGTGAATGATAATTTGAGCAATTTCACCCAGAGTCCCATTTGTACTTTAGTGACTACAAACATCATCTTCAGTGAAACAAGAGCTTTAAGAAGATGAAATCTCCCCAGAAAGTTAATGCCTCACAGAATGAGCTTACAAACAAAACAAAACAAAAAAAAGAGAACTAGAATCAACATGTTCCTTTATGAAACCTAGACAAACACATCACATACAGTGATTCTCACCATTTAACACCTTTTTCACAAAGGGATTAAACAAAGAAACAGCATAACAAGTTTCAAATTGAATAAATTCCTCATGAAGAGTTTTTCAGCTGCTGTTAGGTTAAAGCTGAAGTCTGCCGTTGTTTTTAACCCACAAAAGGGAACAAGTGTGCTTTATAATGGGAAATAATTTAAAAGTGGCAGTGTAAAAAAGTATGCATTTCACAGAAAACACACCTGTATCAGCATTCAGTGGATTCCCTAATGCCTGTTGTAGGTACAGATCAATATATATCGAAATTTAAGCATATTAGGCATATTAGAAGTTAGGAAACTAAAGAATCTACTCTCAAGTAGATGTACACATACCTACCTAAACATAATAAAATAAACTTAAAAATGCATGCAGCTTTCTAAGATTAGAGAGGTAAAAAGGGTTCAGAGTTTTTTAAACACTCCAGAACATTACAAAAACACACTGCAAAGACAGCTCCTTCCTACTTACATGAAAGCTGATTGATAAAGTAGCCTGGAATGCTTTATTAACAAAAACACCCCAACAAACCCCATAATGTAGTACAGCAGTGTACTTCTATGTCAACTTCTATGTCAACTTCTATGTCAACTTACATGCTTGTGTGTGTATACATAAACTTCACAAAGAGTTTAATTAATTGCTAGTCTCATTTTTAAACTTTCTAGTCAGTTTTAGCAGTGATTGTTTGTCAGAGTGCCTGACTGAAAACTTGCTGAAGTCAACAAAACCACCCTCATTAAAACCTGAGTGGCTTAAGATAAAGCCCTGGCAAAGAACTTGGACCTGGAGAGAGGATTGGGCACTGAAACAGATGAAGACAAATAAAGAAACAGCAATATAAAATAGGGGAATAGTTAAAGTGTACTGGTAAGATTCTTTTTGAGTAGAGTCTTTTTAAAATGGTTCCCTTGGCCAGTCTGAATTTAAAATAAAACTTACTTTTGCCACAATGTCGTCTTACAATTTTAGAAGAGAAATGCAAGTCCTGTACAAACACACACAGAACCTGCAGAAACACAGCTGAACTTTTCTACTACTAAATCTTACTAAATTTGAAGAGTCCGTCCCAGGATCTGCAGAACTCCCTCCAGGGTTTTGGAATAAGTGGACGAAGCCATTTGGGAATAGCACCTGCATACATAGTGGTCTTAAACATACTAAACATCAACTCCAGAGCCTCAATATATTCAACAGTCTGCTGCGGGACGTTGTTTTCCAGGCAGCCCAACCGGCATTCATACAGAATAGTTGCCACACCTGCACATATGAAATCAAAGAATTTGCTATACACATGTATATAAACATATTCATAATTTAAGGAATTATAATGCTAGCATATGGAACCACCTTCCAAAAATGTTGAGTTACTACTGCAGTTGGAAGCAGATAAAATAGGAAATCTAAAACACAGCAAAAAAATCCCAGCTAAACATTATAGTGAGACAGTGGCTATGTCAATAATGCTCAGGATGAGAAGACAGTCAAAAGTTTCAGCAGAAGCAGAGCAGCCCTCCAGCCTGTGCTGTGTTTTGCACTGCACCACAAAACCTCAGCCTGCCCTATTGGCCTCTGGACACACAGGGACACCAAGTCCAAAGACATTTCTGATAACTGGTGATAACGCAGGAGTTTCTAGCAGTGGCTATGCCTTTCTTCATCCTAAGTTGGTAGTAAATGAATAATGAATATGCATAAATGGATAAAGAGCCTGCACTAGGCAGAGACTTCCCTGCATGCAACACGGCCCTGAGAAACAGCAACTGTGTGACACTGCTGCAAGTGACAACATTGACTCGTCTCTCCTTCCTGACTTGCTATAATTTCCTCACATATTTTGGCTGCAGAATTGCAGTGATCCTTGCTAGAAATACCATTTCCTTCCCTCCGTTATATATTTCCCTCCCTACTTCATAATATTTTTATTAAATTATTATTCTTCTTCTCAACTCGGGACTATTTCTTCCATTTATTGAGTTAATTCTTACTTAGCTATTAGTGTCCCTGCAACCTCTCAGCTCAGCTTTTATAAACACACCCAAATTATTAAATATGGGATAGAATTCAGCCAGAAACTGCCTACTAGAGTTAGCCAAAATGTTCTCTTAGTTTGACAGCAAACCATGTTTAATTACTTTCTGAACACAGGTTTCTAGCAATTTTTCCTCTCAACTTGCAAAATCTAGATCATATTATCCAGTTTATTTAAGAAAATATCACATGATACAGTACAAAAAGCATTCCTATTATCAAAATACTCTTATTTAACAATTTTTATAAAATCCAGTGGGGCAATTAGGTAATTTAGAAAGGCATTTAGATAAGTTCTCAAAGCCATTTGCATCAAACCAAATGTTTTTAAAGAATTTTTGTGCTTTTAAATTTATTAGTTAACATTTTGTCCGTGTCTTTCCAGGAAATTTTTGAATAACTGTTAACCAGATAAGTAGAGTAACCAGCCCATTAACACTCTAGTCTCTTTTGTCTCTGTTTCTGCTGTTAAAAACAGGTACAATATATATGATGTTTAACCTTGATCTCGCCCTTCATCAAACTCTCCATAAATTCCCAAGTGTGTATATATATATTTAAGAAACTTTTCTTTTTCCCTGTTCTTTGCTTCATATTTCTTCTTTATTGACAAAAATGATTTTAAAATCTGGCTTTTTCAACTCGTTCTTCATTCCCTCTTCCCTAATTTTCCTCCCTGGGGAGATATTTTTCTGTGCCTTTCATTTCTCCTGTGCCTCTTTCAGCAACAGCTATTTCTTGCTCTTTACATGGTGTTTTCAAAAGAATCTTACACATTGGTTCCCTGAAGAGTTGACAGTGTAAGTTAATTACAGCTGGAGTTCATATAGGAAATAAGGGCATGCCAGGCACAAGCTATAAATGAAAAGCTGAAAGAATGTGAAGAATTTAAACTAACCCTTCAGTTAAAGTGAATCTGTAAGCTCAGAGTTTAAAAATCCATAAAATTGGTAACTCTGAGGTGAATGCCATTTTTAGCCATTATTAATGTCAAGCAGACTCAGTTTACCAAACAGCCAGCCAGCTGTTTGATACAGCATCTTCACAGGTGAGCAATTGGGAAGTTCCTGCAAACCTCAAATTATTCAGCTGCCTGTAAGCGAAGGCACTACATACAACAAGATCAGGCTGTATGCAGTCACTCAAAGGAATGCATGGAATATGAATCACCATTGGATTTCTATAGGAACACAGAACATGCTGCGCTAGCTCAGGTTGGAGGTCGATTTAGCGTTCCCTCACTAGCCAGTGGCAGATGATTTTAAAGCAAGCATAACAATCTTTTCCTACATTATGCTATGACAGAAGTTAGATACATCACACAGTGATTCCCCGCCTGGGATTCGGCCAGCATGTTGCTAAATTAACACGTCTTGGAAGTCACACTATTAGAAGGACAGCACCAATATTGTTAAGAAATTAGTACAGAAATACAGAGTACTGAAACTGCTCAGGTCCTTGACAGTACATTTTACTTACATACCAGCATTTTCCACAGGCATTGTCCTTCATACAGGGTGTCATCTCTTTGGTCTCAAGAAAGGAATTCTACTGATAGCTACTACACTAAGTAGAAAGACACCTCAATACTTCCATTTTCATACTAATCACAACGGGGCACTAGTCATTTGACAAAAATGCCGAACCAAAAGCACATTGCTTTACATCCATTTTCTTTACAGACATTCTAGAGCTGGGCTTACCTTCCATTGAATACTTGAAGAAAAGATTATTAACATTGGTCACTGTTTCCCCATCATCCTCTTGACTTCTGAGGGTGTGGATTCTTTTAATTAAGTCTGTGATAACTTCATTGACTCCTTCAGAGTAAACCGCCACATCTTTGGGTTTCAGAATTTTTTGCCTCAGTACACTTCTCATTTTTAGCCATTGTTCCCCCTCCCTAGAAGAAATTATCAATAATGTCTATGCACAATTCTCCTTAACAATCATCAGCTGGGTAAGAGCTTCACAATGAAGCTGGTTATGATTTTTCATCTCAAATGAAAGCAAGTAGTGAACTTAAAATCACTATAAAGTACAATTGGTATTACGCTCCTCCATCTCATTCTGTGTTTATTGCACGTCTCATCAAATTTCAGTGTTGCAGCATGTATGTACATCTGTAAGTCAACCTCTGGTCTGAGCGGCAGAACTTGTTCACTCAGTGTTCCGAATTTGACAGGTGTCCCTGTATTAGTATTTTAGGAGCAGCTAACACAAGAAATTTGCAAAATTTTCTTATTAAAATTACTTTAAATAAATACTTGACTAGACAGTCTGCAAAATTGCTTTTACCTAGAATCGGTGCTTAATTACCAAAGGTATCACATCCAGATCTGACAAATCAATTACTTGAGCTAGTACCATAAATGCCATTACTGATGCATCACTTTCAGTTACTCTAATTCTAAACGTGTAAAGTAATAAGATAGCAGACCTAGCTATAGCTAAACAATTTACAGCTGCATTCTCCTTTAGCTGAGTTATGTATTGAAATCTTTGTGTAGCATCTGTATGCTCCAAACGAGTAGACTATTTGGGAACAGTGAGAGGAGGTGAGTTCAGAGAGATCTTTCAACTCCTTATGAAGACAGGCAATTATGTTTTATGTGTTTATTTCAAATTGTGATGTAAGTATTTCCCATTAAATTCTATCACCTGAAGCAATGGTGCTGCAAGGTACAGAAACTTACTGGCTAGCAAGAGAATTTAATCTCTTTAACAGACATTTTCTGGCTTTCTCTTGATTTAGGATCTTGTTTCACAAAATATGAAGGAACTGTTTGACTCTGAAGTGCAGCTTCAGATTTGAGGCTGCAGTGCAGTACATAACGCTTTTTGCCACCATGAAAGAAACAGACTGTCCGTGACTCAGGAAATTAGTCTCCCTCTAAACAAACATCCTATGTCAGTGGGGACTGTGAGTAGTTCCCAGTGGCAATTAACCACACCCACACACACTGCCAGTTTATGCAAGCTTTAAAGACAGATAACTCTTCCAAAACCAGCCACACACAAAATACAGTGACTTCTCTGCGTTAATCTACTGAGGGGGCACTCTGGTGAATAATGAAGCTAAAGCCAACCTGAGCCAACAAGCCCACACAGCACACTGCCAAGTGGGTACAACAGTCTAGATCTGAAGCAATAAAAGCACATTTGCTGTGCCAAAGTTAGTAAGGCCCAGTCTCCAACACTGCTTCCAGGTATGCGAGTCAGCTCAGACTTCTCCAGTTGATACAAATGTCACAAGAATGTGTGTGAGGTGGCTTACTCCCTGCTCAAACTACGCATCACTGCCATCCCTTTGAAAATTCACAGCAGAACAGACAATTCACCACATATTCCATAATTCACATTACTTCCCCACACAGAAAAGGCTGAATTCCCAGATGACCTGTACAGTCCCTCAGAAAATCACTAAACCTTTACAAGAAAAAGGAGAAAACGAAGGAGTGACACCACTCACGCAGAAATGAGTCCCGTGGCTCTCCCTCTTAAGTCTCTGTATTCCTGCCAGGATTCCATGTTAGCTCGTTGTGGTGCTCTTCCTTCTGCCCGGAGGACTTGAGCAACCATCTCTCGATCTGCAATGGATACAACAAACTGGGGACCAAAGTGAGACTTGAAGATCTTTCCATATTCCTGAGTGTGTTTTTGCTACAATATCACCAAGAAAGAGAAACAGAAGTGAAGCATTACTAAGGGAAAAGAACACAAATGGAAACTGACAATTTGTCATACAATCAATCTATCACCTCCGGACCTTGATCCCCAGCCTTCCAGTCAAGGAAGGGTTGGAAATGCCAGGAGAAAGTGCCTCAGCATGACTGTGAAATATTCACAGGGCAAACAGAGAGGTCACCGTTCAGGACCTCTGACTGAGAAGACCCAAAGCTCTAAGGCACAAAGCGTGAGTGAAACCAAATACTGAGATGATGAAAGGACCTGGGGCACCTAAAAACACATCTCTTCAGATCAAACAGGTTAGGAAGAATGTCTGAAAAAAAGAAAAACGTAAACAAGGTGAAATTAACAGTGTAATACAAAGACATGATAATCTACTTTAAATGTCTTTTGTAAAGAAAGACTTACTCTACCAATTTATTCTTTACAAAAAACTACTTAGAAGTTTCTCACACCTAATGAAGAATGATGATAGCGTTAACAGCCTAGTGAGAAACTGCATTTTGGGACAGGTTCATCAGCAGTGAACATTAGAATGACATATGTAATTCTGCAAAAGGAAGGAAAAGTTGAGGTCTCATTCCTGCAGCGAGGTTTATTTAGAGCCCGATCCACAAGTTGTATGATTCAAGCTGGAGGCAAGCAACAGGCAGTTAAGAAAGGGGACTGCAAAACATTAAATTATGTATTAAAAGAAACCCTAAAGATTTCCAGTAAGATTGCGCTGTCACTGTCCCTTGAAACCTTACTGATTATTGCAAACAAATTTCATTCTGCCGTGGTCATGAAAGGAATCACCCAAGTCCCTGCAATTTACTTGGTACATCATCATTTTAGGGGGAAAAAAGGAAACTGCAAAGGAGCTGTCAAAGAGATGTTATCTGGACTTCAGATTTAAGAAAGCTTTAAATTTTAAAGCCTTTATTTCAAGTTAAAGTAGCAAGACAAGTTAAACTGACCGAAGTTTTAACTTTGACATGTTACCTGCATCTAATCTAAAGACATCTGCTTGCAGAGTTACAGGTATTATAAATCAAAGATGTTTGATACAACTACACTAGTGAAAGTCTAGTGCTGACCCTACATTAACTTATGATAAATACCTTTTTAATCAGTCTTGATTACAGACATGAATTGTTTAATTGCCAACAATAAGTTTAAGAGACATGAATCACTCTTCAGCATATGGTACCAACTGCTTATGAAAAAATGTAACTCTTTTTGTCTGGTTTCCAAATAAAACAGAAGTTGTGCAACTGTGGTCTCTGCCAGTCTCCTCTTAACTACTTTTGGAACACAATGGCCAATTTCAGTCAAGTTTAGCAGAAAGCTGAAGTCTCCTGCAATTATGTTCTTAGCATTTTCAAACACCAGTGTCTGGATTCGAATGCGACACACGTATCAGTCACCCCGAGGAGGGAAACATTAGAGTAGGAACTCAACTGTTACCGTCTCAGCTTGGTCTGCTGCTAAAAAAACACCACACACAGACCAATGTACCAACAAGCGCTCCCCAAACCCAGAGTAGCCCTGGGATGTTTTATGGATACTGAAATTGAACTTGGAGTGACTTGAGAACATGAGTCTTTGCTGCAGGGAGAAGGCAGCGGGGTGAGGGCAATACAGGTCACCAGACGAGGAAAAACGGGTTCAACAAATTTTGCTGTTATTTATGGAGCAGCTCGTTTTTTCCACTGTGAGGTTTACATGAGAGGAAAATCTTCAACAGAAAACAAATCAGGTGTCAAGCCATCCAGTCAAATTAATAAAATATCTGTTTTAAACCAGAAACAGACAAGCACAAGGTATTTGGACATCTCTTGCTTTGAACAGAATGATGTTCAGTGTCTCAATACCACGTTTGAAGAAATGCCCGAAATTTCTCTTCCATATTTTCTATCACAACATAGGTTTTCTTTTCCTTGTTTTAAACCTTAAAAAAATTACACTTTCGTGTCTCACATACCACTCTCACACCAGACATTCTTTCACACATCATAAATTCAAGCTGCCAACACCCAAACCCTCCTCCCTCACCTTTCTTTTCTTTATACTTGCACAGCACTGATGAGACAAAAAGAGATCTAACCCCATCAAATTAAAAATACTTTCCCTTTGTCATAATTGCTGTAGGCATTACTGCTTTGGCCAGGACTAACTGGAATCATGTTACTGAGAACAGAACCTCCTTTGTGAAAAAGCACTCGGCTTCCCCACCCCTTCTGCATATAGGGTACGAATATTTGTGTGCGCCAAAGGACATCGTTTAAGTAGCTGTGATGGTTACCAAAGGGTTTAGGATTAATTCATTCCTGATGTTCACTGTATTGTTAAATTTAACAGACTGTTATTAATCCAGTTAATGCCTATTTGCATCCAGTGTGTATGCAAACAGGGCATTCATGATTTGCAAAGTGATTTTTGAGACAGTAAGCAGAATAAAAACTAGGACATTTTACAACTTTTCCTTATCGCCTTCCCCCCGCTTTCCTTTCTATGAATAACATTCATTAAAGAAGAAAATTTCTGTATCAGCTAGTGGTAGTGAAAACCACACACTTTTTAGATTGTGCATCATTCCTTTTAATATTTGAATAATTTTCACTGTATTGACAGTGAAAGAACAGTGAAAGCTTGAATTCAATGGTAGTATTTTTTTCAGTGTTGTGCTACTAAGGCCAGCACCTCTCAAATTGTGTGCACCACCACAGAGGTTGAGAAAAAAAATAAATATAATGCAACAAAGAGCTGTCGCCATCACAAAGTTTCATCTGCATCTGTCTTAGTTAGCAAGCAAGTAATTTGAGCATCATCAGCAATCTGGCTTGGCTGCCATCAGACACAGCATAAACTGAGAAAGCTATCACTGCCTTTTAGAAATCTCAATGGTAAATATGACAAAGCCAGGCGCGATTTTTTTTTCAGTATTTCCTGCCTCTTTATGGTGTTTTGGGGCCCTCTGTAAATCCTAACTTTCGAGTACTGATCCTCAAGCCATTTAAAGTTCTGCCCTGCTCAGTTGGTTTTCCTCTTCTGTTTTTACTTCCCTTTTCTTTTTATTATTTCAGTGATTTTCTGGCAGTGAGTCTCTTGGGACTGTCTGTGATCTCTTCCTAGCGATCTGGGAAAGGTCACTAAGAAAAACAAAATAAATGCCACATTTCAGGTATTCCTGAAGAGATCTGTACTTCCAGTGGAAAGCGTTATGGATCCACAACTGAAAAAGGGTGAAAACCACGGCTTTGCTCCCTCAAACAAGTACAGGATCACTTGGACTGCGCAGGAAAGGGGCCTCAGGAGATGCACTGTGACTTCTTAGGAATGAAACCCACATGTTTGGCCAAGCAACCAAAAAAATTCCTCTCTGGACTGAGACAGCCTTATGCTAAGACAGCTGCTCACGCCGACACCCCAAAAAGGCTGCAGAAAGGATGGGTAACCGCTCACCCACCTCCTGCTGTCCCCAGCACGGATACCCGCGCTTCTCCCACCTCCGCCGGGTGGCACTGAGCGGAGGGACACACCGCGGCCTGTGGGCCACCACAGCAGCGGAGCTGCCACCCCACAGAGGACGGTTTCCATCCCCCACCCGGGTTCAGATTTATTTCACCGTCTCCCACC